AGGCGTAAGGATACGCTCAAGGTAGCATACATTTTACTTTAAATTCTTTATGGCTTGTGACATTTTATTGTAGCCCTTGGGCGTCACTAGTCTATTTAAGGGAAGCTTAATCTTCCTGCTGCTTATTTATAACTCAAGCCTGCAGCGTATCACATTTTGGGCACTCCTAGTGTACATCTATTACTGCATTGCTTCTTATTACGCTTCGTCTTTCTTTTCGCGGGGACCAGCAGGAAGGACTTGTATGTTGCGTGAAAGACAAAATCACGGTTGTAATACAGTTTGCAAGAGCTAAATATTTTCGCCGGAATAATATATTTATCGAATCTTGAATGGCATGATCCTATGGTTCATTAAATCTACCTTAAAACTGTAATTGGTATTCGTCTATATATATAAATTATTTTCCCTAAATTTATCTACCAATTATTTTATTTCATTAACCAGTCACTTGTTATTGCATTACTATGCTCTCTTCACTTTGCTTGTTTACATTTGAGATATTTGTTGATCATATCTATATAGCTTGTTGAAGCCGAAATTCGCCGTGAACAGGACGAGGCGCGGGCTGTGGAGGAAGCCTGTGATGCCATAGATTCTGATGAGGGCCAAGGCGACCCTGTGGCTGAACAAGAAGAGTACGAAAAGTGGAAAGTTCGAGAGCTGCGTCGTATTAGAAGAGACAAGGAAGCTAGGGAGAATATACAACAAGAGAAAGAGGAGGCAACTTTGTTTCACATAATTTTCTTAACATCGTGCCACACGTTATTTAACCCAAATTATTTCCCTTTAGTATTGTGCCGATTAAAGCTCATATTATTCGCTTTTTAGATTGAACGAATTAGGAATATGAACGATATTCAGCGTCAGGAGGAATTCAGAAAAAATCCTAAACTTATTACTAACAAAGCTATCAAAGGGAAGTATAAATTCATGCAGAAATATTTCCATCGTGGTGCTTTCTTCGTCACAGCCAGTGAAACTGACGTATATAAGCGAGATTTTGCCCAACCTACCCTAGAGGATCATTTCGACAAGACGAAACTTCCAGCCGTGATGCAGGTTTGGATACAATACAATTTTTCTTGTCGATTTAACTTATAGAACTTCCTTGTCCTCTAACTTGTTTTTACTGACACCTTTTCATTTTGATTTTAATTCTTGATATTCTTTTATTCTTAACCGATCCGACTAGGGAAACTACCCCCCTGATCTATAATTTTGTAGTTGAGCTTACTTAGTCTTGTTTATTACCCTTATTCCATAGTCTTTTGGTCCTATTTAAAATTATATTTTTTCTTGCATATTCTGAAATTCTGTTTCAAACTAAGTCCTTATTGTTCACCCATATTGCATATTATATTATCTAATATAGGGTCGTTGGAATGGATATTTCTCCGATTAGATAGTAGCATTAGATCGTTCTGCCATCTTTTGGCTGAATTGCATACAATCTTTGGAAATGAATATAGTTTTTTTATGGTGTCATTACAAAACCTAGCGTTTCGGATCTTAACCTTGACTGTCTACTTGTTTTTGTCTCCTACACGGATGGATGGAATTAATTTTAAAATAGAACTCATCACTTGTTTAGACCCATCGTTGAACATAATTTTAAGACTATTCAACTCCTACTCGTATGATAGCAACTATACATACCGTTAACTGTCGGACAGGCAACCCATGATTGTCTTGGTCATTTATCTTGCTTTTTATGTCTTATTACCTTAAATCTAACATTCCACCCTTCTCTGAAATTAGGTCAAAAACTTTGGCTTGGCTGGGAGGACGAAATACACTCATCTTGTGGATCAAGATACATCTACATTCGACTCCCCTTGGTTCGCCAACACTATGACGAATATAAAGTTTCATGAACTCCACGGAGGTGGAGTAAAATCGGTATTCGAAAAACCGCTTTTTAAATCAAAGAAGAAGACAGACGCTTGATTTTTTATGTTTTTTTTTCATTTGTACATACTTTATTATATACGTGATCCACTCCTCATTTGCTTTTCTACCAAATTATTTCATTTACTGCGATTCGAGAAGAATCTCGTAAAATATCGGGATTCTTATAGCTTTGCTGAATTCAAATAGTTACGTTTTTTATCATCATCCCTTTTCTCATATTAATTCATTGATCTAAGAGACAGCCGAATAGCTCATTCACAACGACTCGAATGTCGCATATGTGTATCAGAAAAATAATTGTTGGAAGATTGAGCTATGATGAAAGTATGCCTTTACAAGCCAAGGGTATGTAATCAGTTGGTTCACCTCTGGTCCACTGTCATGCTACAGGTGTGATATATAAGAAAGTTGTTGCTAAAATACTCTTGACTAACTCATTCCTTAATTGCCTGCGTCAAAATGTAATCTCATTTACCCTTGGAATTTATGATCTCCATAACTGGACCCAGTGTAGCATTTAATATAATGGATATGCTGACTACGTGTATATACGGGTATATTTATACATTAGAGTTATTCCATATAGAAATTCATTCGATTTCTTCGTTGTAGATAAGTGGAATCGGAATGATTGCATGATCATCTGCTAGCAGAACCAGGCCCTTGAATTCGTCGTTCGATTTGGCCTCATCCAAAAGCAATTGCACGCTTGGGCGGTCTTTTTTGTCACGTTTCTTGGCAGATGGTTTGGAATCGTCTGAATCTAAATATAAAAGCGCCATGGTTAGTTATATCTGGGGCCTCGAAATTAACAAATGGGAGGCATGAGGGTGATTATATAAAATGATGACCGGACAAAATTTGTTAAAATCCAAGTGACCAGCAAGGTAACCTCACGGTGCAGTATGCAAACTAACCTGAATCGGGTGGATTTGGGTGGTCAATCGGCTGGTATCTCTGGCTGAAATGCGTCAAAATAAGAAGTTTTACACGAAGAGACGCAGCCAGCTTAGTCGCCATTGTGGGGGTTGAATGTCCTTTTGACAGAGCCTCCTCCCTCATAGCATCTTCCAAAGTGGCCTCGTGAACCAACACGTCGAGTTGCGGAGGGAAATCTAAAGTGCAACAATCGACAGAAACGTGATCTGGTGTGAAGAGATACCCTTTGGCTTGTAGCTCCCTCATCAGGTCGCATAGACTAGATGAATCAAACGAATCTCCCATTATACCGATTCGCCTGCCACGAATTGGTGAAAGAAGTACCTGGCTGGGATATACGGATGAACCATCTTCTAGTATGACTATCTGACCCTAAGATTTAAAAGAGTAGTACCGAGAAATGAAAAGGCAAGGGAGGGGTAAATATATAGTTGTTATAAGCATAAATTGGGTTTCACGGCTAGTGTCTAGTTGCCTAAAAACGATGGTATCGTATTTGATCTAGTATTCAGAAAGTTCATTCCAATAGCATACAACAATATAAACTAATGTAGAGTTTAAATGTAGATACAAATTTTTATCACAAATAATGGACCCACTGGACTATGTGAGTGACTGAACAGGCATATAAAAAGGTGAGATCTGATCTGCGATAATGACTGATCGAATTTTATTAGTAAAAAATTAAATAGGAGCAGCTCCATTTCATACTGAGTTCAAATCTATTGTGGAATATAGTCTTCAGTAAATATCTTAAGAACCTACAAAGGAAAATATCAATCCTCAAATTTTATATAGCCGACAGAAATTTTTCTTAAAAATGTAGACCCTCATAATAATCACCTGAATAAGGATTAAAGCTAAGAAAATTAAAAAGTTGTAACGAAGCCTGGAGAGTAAAACAAAGAATTACATAAAGAAAATGGATTGTGGACTAGGATCATTTCATCAGGGCACCATTGGCTGGGGTCTGTACTCGACCTTATCCAGTATTAAATCCTAGTATATAGAAAATATCCATAAACTGAAGTAAAGTTTGTTTAAAGTAAATATCTGGGGGAGAGATTCTTAAATGAGTCTCACCTGAAGAGAGTT